TAACTTACTGTATATATCACAAACTTGCTAATTATTTATACTTAATTTAAATATATCCATATAAAATTTTTATGGACATTTCTGGAAGAAGAGATATTGGGAAAGAAGATTCTTCATTGGATATAATCTTTAATTGGTCACAGGTACTCTTAGCAAATTCTCTCCCAATTATTTGTGTCAAAATGCATGCAAGATGAAATATTTTATCACACAGAATACTTGTTATTAAAGCTAATTAAAACTAAAATTCTCTAATATATTTCAAAAAAGTTTGAGAATTTCTCCACTAATTTATTGCTAAAATGTCTGTGCTATTTATATGCTTCTCAATACACTAGATACAAAACAAAGAGGATAATGCTAACTGTATTTCAGATGTGATGTGAACTACAGGACTAAAATTACCTAGGTGTCAAAGGAGAAAAAATTTTTAATACCATACTAATAATAAATTAATTAATAATTAATTAATAATTAATTAATAATTCTTTGCACTAGTATTTTTTGGTATCAGTTATAATATCTCCTTTCTCATCTCTAATTTTATTTGGGTCTTCTCTTTCTCCTCCTCTATATTTTTCTTTTTCTTAGTCTAACAGTTTGTCAATCTAGTTTATCTTTTTAAAACATAAATTCATTTCATTGATCTTTATATTGTTTTTTAGTATCTTATTTACTGATGCTCTGATCTTTGTTATTTATTTCCTTCTAAGTTGGGAATTTGTTTTCTTGTTTTTCTAGATCCCTTGTATCCATTGTTGTTTATTTGATAGTTTTGCTTCTTTGTTTAGGGCTTTATTACTATAAATTTTCCTTAGTACTTTTGATATATCCCATAAGTTTTGGTATGTTTCCATTTTCATTTGTTTCAGGAAATTTTTTAATTTCTCCTTTGTTTTCTTCAAAGACCTACTCTTTGTTAAGTAGCAGTTTGTCAAGGCTCCATAAATGCATAATTTTTTAGGTTTCTTTTTTTGTTTATTTCCTAGTTTTATTCCACCACAGTCAGAGAAGTTACACGACATGATTTATATTTTTTTAATTTGTTAAGATTAGTTTTGTAGCCTAATATCTGATCAGTTCTGGAAAATGCTCCATATCATGATGGAAAGAATATACATTTTTCAGGTGTTGGATGAAATATTCTTTAAATGCCTGTTAAGTACATCTGATCTGTAGTGGAGTTTAATGATTAGTAATTGGTAGTATCGATTTTCTGAATGATGTGCTGTCCATTGATGAAAGTATGATGTTGAAGATGCCTACTATTATTTTACTAGTTCTCTCCCTTCAGATATAATGATGTTTGCTTTATAAAATTGGATTGTTATATAACTAGGTACATATATATTTACAATTATTATATATTCTTGTTGAATGGATCCCTTGATCATTACATAATAACCTCTTTATTTCTTTTTACAGTTTTTTCGTAATTTTTTTAGCTGTAGATGGACACAGTAACTTTATTTTATTTATTTATTTATTTATTTATTTATTTTATACTCTATATTTGTTTTGTTTTGTTTTAACTTATATATGATAGCAGAATGCATTACAATTCTTATTACACATACAGAGCACAATTTTTCATATCTCTGGTTGTATACATAGTATATTCACACCAATTCGCGTTTTCATACCTGTATTTTGGATAATAATGATCATCACATTCCACCATCATTAATAACCTCATGCCCTCTCCTTTCCACTCCAACCCCTCTGCCCTATCTAGAGTTGTCTATTCCTCCCATGCTCCCGCTCCCTATCCCACTATGAATCAGCCTCCTTATATCAAGGAAAACACTCGGCATTAGGTTTTTGGGAATTGGCTAACTTCACTTAGCATTATCTTCTCTAACTCCATCCATTTACCTGCAAATGCCATGATTTTATTCTCTTTTATTGCTGAGTAATATTCCATTGTGTATATATGCCACATTTTTTATCCACTTATCTATTGAAGGGCATCTAGATTGGCTCCAGAGTTTAGATATTGTGAATTGTGCTGCTATAAACATTGATATGGCTGTGTTCCTGTAGTATGCTGTTTTTAAGACCTTTGGGTATCGACCAAGGAGAAGGATAGCTGGCTCAAATCATGGTTCCATTCCCAATTTTCCAAGAAATCTTCATATTGCTTTCCATATTGGCTGCACCAATTTGCAGTCCCACCAGCAATGTAAGAGTGTACCTTTTTCCCCACATCCTCGCCAACACTTATTGTTGTTTGTATGCATAAGACCTGCCATTCTGACTGGAGTGAGATAAAATCTTAGAGTGGTTTTGATTTGCATTTCTCTAATTGCTAGTGATGATAAACATTTTTTTCATGTATTTGTTGATTGTACATCATCTTCTGAGAAGTGTCTCTTCAGGTCCTTGGCCCATTTATTGGTTGGGTTTTGTTTTGTTTTGTTTGTTTGGTTGTTTTGGTTTTGTTTTTTTTGGGGGGGGGGTTGTTTGTTTGTTTGTTTGTTTGGTGCTTAGTTTTTTGAGTTCTTTATATACCCTAGAGATTAGTACTCTATCTGATGTGTGAGGGGTAAAGATTTGCTCCCAAGATGTAGGCTCTCTATTCACGTCACAGATTGTTTCTTTTGCTGAGAAGAAACTTTTTAGTTTGAGTCCATCCCATTTATTGATTCTTGATTTTAATTCTTGCACCACAGGAGTCTTATTAAGGAAGTTGGGGCCTAATCCCACATGATGAAGATTAGGACCTACTTTTTCTTCTATTAGACACAGGGTCTCTGGTTGTATTCCTAAGTCATTGATCCATTTTGAGTTGAGTTTTGTGCATGGTAAGAGATAGGGGTTTAATTTCATTTAATGAAGTGAGTTTCTTGTGGCAGCCAATTATTAGGTCTTGTTTACATCCATTTAGCCAGTCTCTTCATTTTGTTGCATATGGATTTCCAGTTTCCCCACACCATTTGTTGAAGAGGCTATCTTTTCTCCAATGCTTATTCTTGGCACCTTTGTCTGATATAAGATAATTGTAGCTTTGTGGGTTAGTCTCTGTGTCCTCTATTCTGTACCATTGGTCTACCAGTCTGTTTTGGTGCCAACACCATGCTGTTTTTGTTACTATTGCTCTTTATTATAATTTAAGGTCTGGAATAGTGATGCCACCTGTTTCACTCTTCCTGCTAAGAATTGCTTTAGCTATTCTGGGTCTCTTATTTTTCCAGATGAATTTAATGATTGCTTTTTCTATTTCTATGAGGAATGTCATTGGAATTTTTATTGGAATTGCATTAAATCTGTATGGTGCTTTTGGAAGTATGGTAATTTTGATAATATTAATTCTGCCTATCCAAGAGCAATGTAGATCTTTCCATCTTTTAAGGTCTTCTTTGAGTTCTTTCTTTAGTGTGCTGTAGTTTTCATTGTAAAGGTTTTTTTATTTATTTTTATGTGGTGCTGAGGATCGAATCCAGTGCCTCACATGGGCTAGTCAACTGCTCCACCACTGAGTTACAACCCCAGCCTCTCTTTTTATAATTTTTGTTTTTAAGTCTATTTTGTCTGATATAAGACATTTATATCCTGCTTCCTTTGGGTTTCTATTTGCATGAATTGTCTTTTTATATCCTTTCACTTTTAGTCTGTGTTTACTAATGAAGTGAGTTTCTTGTGGCAGCCAATTATTAGGTCTTGTTTACATCCATTTAGCCAGTCTCTCCTTTAATTGAGGAATTTAGTCCATTTTATGCAAAGGTATTATTGGTAACAAAGGTCTTGACTTCATCATTTTGTTAAATTTGTGTGTGTATGTGTGTGTGTTCATGTTGTGTGTGTTTTAATATCCTTTGTTCTATCCTTCCTCTCTTTTTCATCTTTATGTTTTGCTGGCTTACTGTGTTGATAAGGTTTGATTTTTTTTCTCTTTCTCTTTTATGTATCTGCTCTTCCAATGAGTTTTAATACTTTCATGTGTTTTCATAATGGTTCTTATCTTTTACTTTGAGAATGGGATTTCCTTAAGCATCTTTTGTAAAACCAGTCTGATAGTATGAATTCCCTCAGTTTACATTTCTTTTGAAAAGTCTTTATTTCCCCTTCATTTCTAAATAATTGATTTTCTAGATATAGTCATCTTGGTTGACAATAATTTTCTTTCAGAACTTAGAGTATATCATCACATACTCTCCTGAATCACAAAGCTTCTGCTTAGAAATCTGCTAAAAGTCTATATAAAGTATATAAAGGTATACTTAAATATGACTTAGTGTTTTTTCTCTTACAATTCTTAAAATTCTCTCTTTGTATTATACTTTTGGAAGTTTGACTATCATATGCTCTGGTAAGAATCTTTTCAGGTCATCTTTATTTGTATTCTTAGGCCTTCTGTACCTGAATGTCCATATTTTCTCAAGATCAAGGAGGTTTTCAGCTATTATTTCAAAGAAATAAATCAGATGCAGAAAGACAAATACCATATGTTCTCTGTCATATGTGGATATTATAAATGTCAAACAGAATTTATAGTTTTGATTACTAGATCCTGGGAAGAGTAGGTGAGGGAGAGATTTTAAAAAGGTTAAAAAGTACAAGAACACATAATAGAATTTATAAGTTCTAGTATTCTATAGAACAATTGGGTGACTGTAGTTTAAATACTGAAATATATATCTTATGAATAACTAAAGGAGAGGAGATCAAAGGTTTTAAACATAAGGTAATGATAAGGATGTTGAAATGTCAATTATCAGTACATATTGTATACATATATGGCAATATCACACCATACCCCCAAAACATGTACTATTGTTATGTTAATAGAAAATTTTAAATATTTAAGGTGGAAATATTAAGTACTCTTATTAAATTATTGTACACTACATACAGATAGAGTTATAATACTTTACCCTCATTAATTTGCATAATTGAAATAATATTAAAAATGCATTCACAAAAAGTATATATGCTAATATTTGAATTTGAAATGATCAAACTTAGAAACCTTGCTTTTGGGTTTGTTTTTATCTCTACAGCCCAGTGAGAGTCACAGAGTACACAGTGGACCATATCAATCCAGCAAGCTGCCATCATCTTTTATATACTACAGGCCAAGAAGGATTTCAGCAGGCTCCCCTCCTTTCAATCACCCAGGATATAGTCAATCACGACCTCTTTTTCCTCCTTCTCGCTTTGGCTCAGCGTTCTTTCCTCCTCAATCCCTTCCACCGAAAACCATTAGAAAACCTCACCACTTTCCTGGTTATCCAAATCGACCTTTATACCCAAAACCACCATGTCACCCTTTCCCTGTACATCCTCCTGTTCATCCTCCTTTCCCTAACCCTAAACCCCCAGTAAAAACAACTATCACACCTACCAACACTGCAGAATTCACCACTGCCCCAACAACAACCATCATACTTTCCACAGAACCCACCACAGCAACAGAAGAACCCACAACAACAATAGAAGAACCCACCACAATAACAGAAGAACTCACCACAACAACAGAAGAACCCACCACAACAACAGAAGAACTCACCACGACAACAGAAGAACCCACCACGACAACAGAAGAACCCACCACAACAACAGAAGAACTCACCACAACAACAGAAGAACCCACCACAATAACAGAAGAACCCACCACAACAACAGAAGAACCCACCACAACAACAGAAGAACTCACCACAACAACAGAAGAACCCACCACAACAACAGAAGAACCCACCACAACAACAGAAGAACCCACCACAACAGCAACCACTGTCCTTTACACAGACCCCACCACAACAACAACAGCAACCACCGTCCTTTCCACAGAACCCACCACAACAGCAACCACCATCCTTTCCACAGAATCCACTACAAAAGAAACCACTGCCTCCTCAACACTACCTACTTCCCCAACAACAGAGCCCACCTCCACATTAGCAGCAACTACCACCACAGCATCTACTGAGGATACTACCCCAATTACAACCAGTCCTCCCCCCATCACATTGCTCAGTACCAATATTCAATTTACAACCTCCAATCCAAATACATTCGATTTTAAAAAGTTTTGGGAAAACCTACTTTCTATTTTTGGTCGAAAATGGGAGAAATGACATTTTTCAAACTTCTCTGATTTCTTAGAAGTGAACGTCAATTATTTTGATGAAATCAACCTTGATCAACTAGTATACCAAATAAAAACAATTTGAGCAATAACATACATTTACTACTGTCATGATTACCATACTAATTTATATTTTACTACCTACCAACAGCTGATAAGCCAGGTACCCAGAAAGAAACAGAATCCTTTTGTATATAGATATAGATGTGTGTGTGTGTGTGTGTGTCACACAAACATATATATGAAGGGTCAACTTAAAGTGAGTAAGCAGGATTAAATAAATTCAAAAAGGTATTAATATTGAAGTATTTAAGATCTAGCCATAATGAAGCTGGTAGGTAAGTAGATATGGTGAGGCAAAGAGAACAAATAGTGATACCAGAACTTGAGTGAGAGAGGAAACAGATGAGGAAAAACCACCCCAAATGACCTGTGATGTGCAAGGATATAACTACTGCCAGCAAATGCAGCACATAGCAGGGAACAAGAAAGAATGTCACCCCTACCTCTCTCTTATCTATTTTATCAGCAAAAATTGACCAAAACCTCATAGTCTATTACATTTTGCATGGTAATCCTCCAAGTATGCAGAAGTAATCCGAGAAGAATGGATGGCTAATGAGGAATTATGATCACATAGGTTCACATCATAAGTAGCCTGACTCAACATCATGTAGTCAAATGTTCAGGCAAGGAAAAATATGTGTTTCTAATTTCTTACACAGAAAATATTAGAGATGGCTGAAAGATAAATCATATAACCTTTTTATTTCCTTTCTCAAAGAGATTAACATGTCTATAGGGGGAAATAGGTAATAAAATACAAGTAAATGATAATAGTTTAGATATGAGGTTTCTCCCAACACTCTAGCTACCAATATCTATGTTAGTCATCTTTTTGTTGCTGTGACCAAAATACACAACAAGAACAATTTAGAAGAGTAAAAATTTATTTTAGCTCATGGTTCTAGAAGTGTAGTCCATAGTTAGCCAGGTTCATTACTCTGGGAACAAGGTGAAGCTGAACATCAAGGCAGAAGGAGCCCCAGAGAAAATAAACCCCTCCAGAGTATGGCACCAGGCACCCACCTTTTCCAGTCATACCCCACTTGCCTACAGTTATAGTTAGATTACAGTTCTCACCTCTGAACATTTCTACATAAACACAGGAACATAAATACAGGAAAAATACAATATAAACTAAAAGAAAGGAAACATTAAAATACAAAATGATTTTAATTGAAATAATACATACATAAAGGTGTAAGTACAGATACAAAATAAATATTAAATAAAATATATTTTAAAACTTTAAAGGTGCTCTAAATATAAGACTATAAATATAAAACATGAGAGAAATGGACAAAGCAAGATGGCACAGTAAGACTCTCTAGTGATTATCCCCTTACAGAAACATCAGTTTGAATAATGATCTATATAGAAAAAAATAACTTTACAAGTTCTAAAGAAAGAAAGTCAGAAATCAGAATACCTTGGTGTATCACAGATATAAGAAAAGATTCATTGAAGTTGGTAGGACAGTTTTACATTACCTTCATACCTCTCCCAAACTAAAGGCAGCACAATGTGAAAAAAGATGCTTTCTACTTTGGGGAAAGAGAAGGAAGGAAGCACAGGACTCTGCCTTGAACCCCAATACTGGGCCTGCCACAGTAACACTCAGGACAAGGCAGAACCCTGGGCCCAGACTCTTAGATGGTATTCACCCAAAGTTCATAGCAACAAACTTTAGACCTACAGGATGAATCTGATCTCTGATATTCTCTACAGCCAGACTGACCTGTCCCAAAAGCCCTCAGCTAAAGTTGGGCCCCAGAAGTCACAAGCTTTAGGCCAATCACTGGGATGTGGGCTCCAGACCAACCCTACCAGACCTATCCAGCAGGTTCACAAAAGTGGATCCATGCTTTAAGTCAGCCACCTGCTGACTCAGGGACCAGGCCAGTGAGTCCAAGGACTCAAGTAGCAACCCCACCCATGGACCACATCACGCAGCCTTCCCAGAATATCTGAATAGAAAATGAGTGTTGATGAATTTTTGCAGACAAAATCAGTCTGAGAAGACTGAAATAGGTACAGACTTCTTCAATTACCCAAACACCAATCAATGCATGAAAATTAAGGATAATGAAGGAAGAGATGGAACAAGATAGCAGGAATAAGACCTTTAAGCTATTATCTCTCCACAAACACATCATATTTGAATAGCTATTCATACACCAAACTACCGTCATAAGAGCTAATAAAACTAGATTAGAAACTATGGTAGCTGTTTTTAGTACTTAAAAAAGGAAAAGATGCATTGAAGAAAGCAGGAAAGAAGGAATTGCTCACGTTACCTCTCCCTCAACTCCAATCAGAACAGTGTAAAGGACATGCCTCCCACTTGGGTGAAAGAGAGGGATTTAAATCCAGAATTCAGACTTGAAACCCAGTACCAGGCCCATAACATTGAATCCATTGCTGGGCATCCTACCCCAAGCGGTGTACCTGTGGACTGAGCCATTGGAACTGTGTTAGCCAGATGGCAAAGAATGCTACCATCCCTCCCAAAACTTCACACAGCAGAGTGGGGAGCAAAACCACTCACTGGAGACCAGAACATGAAATCTAACCAGACCTTTTCTTGGAGTTCAGTGTTAGGTCCACTATGGTGAGGCTTAGAACCAGGTAGAAAACAAAAGCTGCTATATTTAAGCCAAAGCTCATAGATAGAGCCTCTAGACCTGACTTGATATTAAGAAGAGACCTTCACACCATTGGTATAGTCTCAAGTTTTGCCCTGCATCATTGCCAGCCTTAAAATGGGCTTGGAAAAAAACACTTGAGAGCTTGCCTGCAAGCACACACATGCACATATTTACACACATCCCTGTGACTGTGAGATTCAGGGGTAACCCAGCTTATCATCAGCCTTAGCAGCCAAGAAACTATATCTATCACCATCCTTCTCAGGCAGCTCACTTATCCCCATGCCAGTGCTCACAGATGGATACCATAGTCCTGTCCTGGCATCAGGCAGAGACTTCAATAGGACAGAACTATTTTTCAAATTGCATTCACTGCCAGCTGCAGCATGGAACTTGGTGCACCCCTGAGATTATGCAGGTCCTTGCAGCTCTGAGACTCAGATATCAACCTTGATGACCTAGTGATGACCTAGTGATGAAGGACTGCCTTCACTAATGCTATCCCAAACTCAGACAGCTTGGTCTAGAAGAAGACACCTTTTGATGGGAGTAGAGCAGGGCAGTAAGAACAGGACTTTGCCTTGGAACTTAGTACCAGTCTAGTGATGCCAGATGCTAGGCAGACCCTAATGTTCCCAACCCCAGGCCTGTTTATGTGTGGATCTCGAAATAGTTCCAACCCTTGGGGGAGATGCAGAGGTCTATCCAATTTCTATCCTGGCCAGCATCTGTAGCTGGTTGCAGCAGGTTGGGTATGAGTGCTTTTCAGCAGTAGGTAGCCAATAGCAGTATAGGTCTTAGTCCTACTCTAGTGCTATGCTAGTTGTGGTGTATGGAGAATGGTGACAGTGAATGGGAGAGCAGTGTCTGAAATTGAGGTCCCTGATGACTTCATGGCTGTGCCATGCTTGGTGCCTGGGAAAGTTTCTGTGAAAAGGTACAGGATGCCTAATTGCTATGGTAATGCCCTCCATGAGAAGGCTCTGTGCTAGAGTCTTATCAACCTCAACCTTGATCTCTCAGGCAACAGCTCCCAGGAATAAAGGAACTCTTCTGTTAGAAAACCACAATGTTTCACCAGCTCTGCTGCTCCTTATCTTGCTCCCATAACAGTAACTTTAAACAATGGACTTTCTGGAGAGCTACACAAAGCTTCTAACATTGCACATTGAAACTGTAGTATAACTGAGAGATAAACTGCATTATATTGCTAACTCTGTAGCTTTCATGAATACAAAGAATAATGCTTGCATAGTCTTTAATCTGATTTATAAGACATATATAATAAAGATAGCTAGCATAATTTTTTAGACCTTCTTCTCCATAAGAGAGCAGCATTCCACCCAATCCTAGCTGTTATCTTCAAAATCTGCATATGTGAGTCTTTATTTTTCTAATCTTCCATCCCTCTTGCAGGAATCTGCTAGTTTGGCCTTGCTGATCACAGCAGTGGGCGGCTATGTGCTTAAGTGTTATAGAGCTTGACAGCATTGGTGGTCAGAGGCAGGGGATAGAAATCTGGGCTGGTCTCTCCACAGTAAATCTGCCCAGAGTCAGGCCGAAAGCCATAATGCCCAACGATAGGTTGATGACTGTGAATAAGGCATCTGGGACTGCCCTGGGTCCAGGGAGAGGCTTTCAGGTATCCCCCGGATTCATTCTGAAAAACACATCAACTACAGATTTAAAAAAAAAAAAAAACCTGTGCTTGAATCACTCTCTACTGCTCAAATAATAATGACATACCTACAGCAAACTTGTGACAAGCCTGGACTTAGGGTTCCATCTAGTGTTGATATACTGGAAGTAAATATAGTCTCAGAGAAAATAAGCGGCGTGCTTAAAATTTCTGGAAAGACCGGAAGAAAGCCAGATTACAAAGACTGGAATAAATAATTCTTTAATGGTCAGATGATGTTGCATACCAACAGGCATCAAGAGCTTTCAGGAAACCACGACCTCACTTAGTGGTCAAAATAAAGTGCTACAACAACAAGATGGTAACTAATATGAGAGGACTCGAAGATTTTGAAACAGCTGTTTTAAGAAAATTCTAGAAGCTTCAAGAAAGCATAGAGAAATGATTTAATACACTAAAAAGAAGCTTAACAGAAAAATGGAAATGATTTTTTAAAACCAAACAGAAACTCTTGAGATAAAAACTATACCAAGTGAAATTACAAACATAGAAGACATCAATAATAAGACAAATCAAAGAAAAGAGATAATTAGTAAGCTTGATGACAAGCTACTTGAGAATACACAGAGGGAAAAAAAAGAAAATAAAATGAAGAGCTTATGGGAATTCTGGGACATTAAAAGAGAACATATTGGACTTTGGGGTTGAGGAGTGACTTGAGAATGCCAAAGGGGTTAGAA